GCTTCGGTTCCTCTTCTCTTCCTTCCTCTCCCCTTCCCCCATCCCTCCTCTTCTTTTAGTGGGAGAGGGGCAGCAGGCCAGGAAGTTAATCATTTGATTTATTTTGATCAAGCCCAGAAATGCATGCACAAAGTCAGATGTTCAATAAATGCTGATTTTAGGACCAGCCGATGGTATAGTGGTTACGTCGCTGGACTCCCACTTGGCCAATCGTGGTTTGAGTCCCTGATCTGGTGGCTTAAAACTCACACTGGGGACGTGTGTGTGTGTGTGCATGCCCAAGATCCCAGAGGAGATGGGAGGAGAAGGGACTATGGTGTGGCCCCTAGAGGGTAACTTCTTGCTTTTTGTCTCTATCTTTTTAGCAAGAGCACCTGCCTGATAGCAAAAATCTCTAAAACACACACAAAAAGGAAATCTGCACTTTTTTTTTTAAGAGAGATTTTTGCTATAGAGCAGGTATACTTGCCAGAGAGACAGAAATTGAGAAATCACCTCCTGGGAGTATGGCCAAGCTGCAATCCCTTGCCTGCCATTCTCCTTTCAGGATTTTGGGCACACAAGCACATGAGCCTTGTGTGAGTTTTAAGCTACTGGATCCTGGGTTCGAACCATGGTCAGTCATGTAGGAGTCCAGCGCCTTAACTACTCTGCCCTGCTGGCCCCAAGCAGAGATTTCTTTCTTTCTTTTTTTTTTTTTTTTGAGAGTTTTTTTTTGCTATAGGGCACGTGCGCTCGCCAGACAGAGAGACATAGAGACAGAAAGCGAGAAATCACCCCCCAGGGGGGATGGCCACGCCGCAATCCCTTCTCCTCCATCTCCTCTTGGGATCTTGGGCACGCACGCACACGCGCCCGGTGTGAGTTTTAAGCCACCTGGTCCGGGACGGGAACTGCAGTCAGCTACATGGGAGTCCAACGACATAGCCATTATGCTAACTGCTGGTCCCCAAGCACAGATTTCTTAACTCAGGGACTTGTTCGACAGTGAAGCAGAAGGGGACCAGCTACCTTTCACTCATGCCCACATCCCTGGGGGTGCAAAGGTGATGAAAACACTACCTTTGCTCTAGGGAATCAGCCACAGGGTGCTTCGTCACCCTGTGATGATCTTGGAGGACTCGCTGTCCTCTTGGAGGAATGAGATGGTGGTTGGGGCAGTGAACTCCCACCCAGCCAACCGCAGTTTGAGTCCCAGACCTGGCAGCTTGCCTTCTCACTTTCTCTCTCATGCACATGCCTTATAGCAAATAAAGAAAATAATGATAAAATGAAATAAATACTTTTAAAACTTTATTTTATTTAAATTTTACCAGAGAGAAGGAATGAGAAAGAGAAAGAGAGAGGGAAAGTGAGAAACCAAACTGCCAGGTCTGGGACTCAAACCACGGTCGGCCATGTGGGAGTCCAGTGACCTTAACCACCATGCCACCTGCCAGGACCCATTAAATATTTCTTTAAAGCACAACAGAAAGTTATTCTGTCATAGCTCTAGACATGGGAAGTGCAAAATTAGTATCACTGGGCTGAAATCAAGCGTCAATAGGGCATTGCTTCCTCCAGAGGCCGAGGGAGAGGCCATTCTCACTTCCTCCGATGGCCTCGGAGCCATCCTGTGACAAAGGCTGTATGCTCTTCCTTTCACTATACAGGCAGGGCGTCAGGCCCAGGGAGGTTAGTACCCAGGGCGATTTGAACTCAGGACTGACTCCAAAGCGCAGGCCTGGTTTCTGTGCCCTGCCCTCTCCTTGCTAGTGCAAAGTGGGGGGGTAGTGTCTGCTGTGACCAAGAAGACAATTGGTGGGAGTTACAGTCCACTCCTAAAAGAGGTAGCAGATAGGACTGAGGCTGGAGAAGGCTGGTCTCCGTTCCTCCTTGGTCAGTGTCTTCCCACCCTCACCATCAAAGACGTTCTGCTTGGTCCTCACCCAAGTCCCACGTGGGGTGTGTGCAGGCTGTCTGCTGCCTCTCACTTGGGCACTGCTGTCTTCACCCCGTTTTCCTGATGCGTGTATGTTTTCTCCACAGGGTATGGCTTGCTCTTCCTGTCCTTGGTCATCACACCTGTCATCCGGGCCAAGCTCTCCAAGCTAGTGAGTGAGTCGGAGCAGGGTGAGTGTCAGGGTCCAGCCTGTGTCTGGTTCCTCAGGCCCAGCGTTGCTGGAACTGGGCAGATGGGCACCGTGGCTGAGGGGCAGCTTGCATTCCTCCCTCCCTCCCTGGAGAAGTAAGTGGCTGAGACTAACACACTTTTGTCAGCGTCCCCGGGGCTGATGGAGGTCCGTGCTGCCTTGGATTTTCAAAGCACAGAGGTGGGATTTGCTGTCAGCAGAGCAGTTACGTCCCTTCTGGATAACTGGCGTGGAGGAGTTGCTCTGTCTGGACCTCAGCTTTTCCTTTTGTAAAATGGGTGTGATGGTGCCAGGCTACCATGTTTCCCTGGGGTCAGACTCTGCAAGTCCAGATGAACAGCCTGGGGACATGGGTTTCATTCTGCCCAGTTGACGAACAGAGGCCTAGAGAGTAAACGGTGGAGCGAGGATGCAAAACCGGTCAGATTTTAAGATCAGCTGATCTCGGAATCTGGGTTTCAGTCTCAGCTGTCACGGTCTTCAATTTCCTCATCGGTAACATAAATGGTGTGCTCTTGGTGACTTCTGCAGGCCCTTCCAGTTCTGATAGTCTGATAGGTTATTTAACTTTTTTAATTATTTATTTTTATTTGACCAGAGAGGGCCACAGTGTGTCTGTGTGAGAGAGAGAGAAAACGAGAAAGCAAGTTGCCAGGCCTGGGACTTGAACCGTAGTCAGTCAGTCATGTGGGAGTCCAGTGGCCTTGACCACCACGCCACTTGCCAGCCCCCCTGATCGTTTACTCTCCACTTCTGTTGGGTTGTTGCTTGTTTTTCAAACTCTGAGTGCTGGTGTATCTCTAAAGAACAACTTCACTCAGGCCTCTGGTCTTTGTACCCCAGTCTGGAAACGTCTACCCATTCCCTCTGCCCCCGCTGCCCTAAGGAGGCTGTGGTGATGATCGAGACCCTGGGATTGTGCACACCGTGGGCTCTGGTGTCCCCATACCCATGTGCCTCCGTTCATTCAGTAAGCTTTCCCCAGCACTGTCACCATTCCCAGAAATGGCAAAGGGAGCAGAGTGAAGAATAGCCCTTACTAACTAGCTCCCCCCAGTGGGCCCGGCCCTACGGGATGTCCTTGTTGTGTGATTTGATGTTGCCGGCGAAACTCTGAAATGGGCCTTTTCCTTATTTAACGGAACTCAGGCAGAAACCCAGAAGGATGAGCAACTGTTCTGCGATCATACGGCTTTAAGTGTTAGAACTGGGAGTCAAACCATCATTTAACCCTAAGTAGGAAATGATTACCAAAAAGATAGACAAAACTAAACAAAAGCCATCTCCACCAGACTCAGTGGAAGGTGTCACGTGTACTTTTAATGGGGATCTAATACAGCCATCTCTAGCAGCCCCTCTGTACCCGGCGCTTTCCATGCACGGCCTTATTGAAGCCTTATCACAATACATGATGCAGTGGGGTTCATAGGTGAGGAAGGTGAGGCTCAGAGAGGTTAAGTGACTTGCCCCAGGTTGCACACCGTGAGGTCGTGGCACCCGACTTTGAAACAGATCTAACTCCAGAGTGGTATTTATTTCTTCGCAGGTGCTCTCTTTTCTGCTGTGGCCTGTGTGAATAGCTTGGCTATGCTGACAGCCTCTGGCATCTTCAACTCGCTCTACCCAGCCACTCTGAACTTCATGAAGGGGTTCCCCTTCCTCCTGGGAGCTGGCCTCCTATTCATCCCCGCCACTCTGATTGGGTAATGCTGGGCCCTGAACTCGTGCCCCTAATGGAGCCCTTCATCATGAAGGTCTCCTTGTCCTCGTCCTCCTCCTCCCACTGGAAATGGCAGCTTCATGTCGGGAACCCTTCCCCTCTGGGCGGTTCATTCCAGGCTGACTGTCCCTTTGCAGAAGGCTGCCTCACCCTCAGGAGTCATTCCCCAGGGGCAAGGCAGAGGGGCAGGCAGAAGGATCCGCACAGTGGGGCGAGGTTGTGTTCCCTGCCCCTCACAGACGGAGCGTGGTGGCAAATGTGTGTTGAAGGGAAGCTCAGAGAGCTCCCAGGGCTCGCCGTGGCAGGCTAGCCTGACCCACTGATTGCCCTGTGGTCAGAAGAGTTCTTGTCCGGAGCTGTCTGTCTCTGGACGCTGCCTTCCAGCTCTCAGTTTGGGGAGGGAAGAGGCTCAGAAGATACCTGGACCAGCCCACCAAGCCACCCTGTGTCCCTTCTCCGGAGGGAGATGAGGGTTCCCTGGTGTCTAATCTGAATTCACTCTGGTCTCTCACAGGCTGCTGGAAAAGGCTAATCCTCGCCCGGAATTCCAGCATTTTCCACAGAGCCCCTGATCTGCCTGGACCAGGGGCCAGAAGGCCAGAGGAGCCAAGTGAACATGAACGAACTGGAAGGCCACGCCTGGGAGCCCAGCCCACCGCCATGCCTGAGCTCCCCTCCGAGAGCAGTGCTTACCTTAGGGCGGTGGTCACGCTTTCTCAACAGAGCCGGCCTCTGGCTAGGACTCAGAACTGTATCCCAGACAGGCCCATTCCGGGAGAGCTATTTGGGACAGGGGTCTGTTTACCTGGCATGCCACTTAGAAGCCTCCAGGAGATGGGGAGGTAACATTTCAGGGATCAGGCAAAGCATGGGGCCAGTGTCTCTCCTCCCAGACAGCACAGGCCATGGTATGAGGCCCTGGCGTGCAGCTGCCAGTCATGCCTTGGTGATGACTACGGTGCCTGGTTAGTGCAGCCGTGGGAGAGGGAGGGGTGTGTGTGAGGAGGTGGGGGGTGCCCTCTGGCGGGAGAGTACTGGTGTGACTTTGTTGAGGGAGTCAGTCCTTGTCTGTGGCCTGCCCACCCCTGGGCTCACCCGTGCCAGTCATCGTAATAAATCAATTTAACCGGACTGCATCAGCCCTGTTTTCCTGCTCCCGGCCAGTCCTGGGGGCGTGGTGCGGGGTGTGGCCCGCCGAGGCCTCAGCTGCCTGGGCATTCTGGTCTCCTGAGCCACTGGGGGAAAAGCGCTAGGTGTGCATCGGGTCAGTGGAGGAGCTTGGGGCAGAGCGCTGGCTGCTCACTCCTGAGGTTCCGAGCTACTTCCCCAGTCCCACACCTGGGTGACGCCAGCCCAGCTGAATCTGTTTCTCTTCCCACTCGGACCCTCCAGCCTCCCCACGCTGGGCCATTTGGCAGAGCCATGGGCTGAGACAGTCCCGCATGCCTCTAAAGGCCCACGAGAACCCGACCCTGGACGCCAGCCTCCCAGAGGACAAGGCGCCCATTCCTAGGTGCGTGGCTGGAAACGCCTGGACCTGAAGTGACAAGGCAGGATCTGGTGTAATATTAAGGCACTGGCTTGGATCAAGGCCACAGTCTCCTGAGCAGACCCAGGCCAGGTGGGACTTGCCTATTCACCCCAGAACCACCCATAGACACCTGGCCCGGCTGCCATTTCTACCCTCGCTCACCAGCCCTGCCCACCAGATTCCTGGCTGGGAATCATGGAGGTGAAATGGGCGTAGCCCAGGACAGACCAGGGTCAGCGGGGGCCGTTCCCAGACTTCTACCTCAGTCCTAACTGGGAGACCTGGGCAAGGAGGGGGCGCCACTGACTCAGTGGGGCTATGGAAGGACAGAGAAGGCTCAGAGCTGGCTGGCCTCAGCCCCATCTCTACCTCCGGCTGGCCCTGTGACTTTGAATAAGGCCCCCTAAAAAGGGCTAGATCAGTGATGCCCCAAATTGAGTAAAGGAATCAGATCTGGTTGGGCAGTTAGGAAACAATGAAATGATGCTCTAAGATCCCTCCCTCCAAGGCTGGCAGGTGACATGGTGGTTAGAGGTGCTGGACTCCCACATGGCCAACCATGGTTCACGTATCGGACCTGGTGGCTTGCTTTCTCACTTTTCCTCGCTCTCTGTGTCTCTCTGGTCAAAGTGGAAAATAATAATGATAAATAAAGTTAAAATAATTCTTAAAAGAAAAAGCCCTCTCTCCTTATATTCTTGAGCACGAGGCCTCTCTGCAAGGGCCTGGGAGAAGATGAGTGGGTCAGGCTGTAATTTTGACCTCTGAATGTCATAGCTTGGGCTCTGGGGCAGGTGGAGCTGAGCTGGCTCTGAGCTGAGCAGAAAACCCTGGCCCTGCAGACCTGCAGCAGGGCAGGCTCTGGGGGAAAGGCTGCTCTGGGCCCTCTTGTCTCAGATCAGCCAAGGGGCAAGACTAATGGCTTGGTCTCTGGTTGTAATCTGAGCAGTATTTATTACACCAGAGAAGACTCAGCCCTGAACACACTGGACCAGTCACTCTGGCTGGGGCCTGAGGCTGGGCTCTGATTCCCCAGAGAGATAGAGAGGGCAGAGGTCAATCTGGCCAGGCAGTCGAGGGTGTACCAGATAGAAAAAGAGCCAAGAAACCTCAGAGTACTGCCCACGGGGACCGGAGGGAGTGGGACTGACCGGACAGAAAGACAGAAGACTTCCCCTGGAGACATACATTGTATTGTTACTGACTGCCCCGCGAAGGCAAAGCATCCAGTCTGCCTCCTTGTACCCTGGACCCAGGCCTGGGCCTGGCACTGGTGAGCATCAGGCCTCCAGATGGCGGAGGATTAGGCACTGTCAAAGCCAGAGCAAGGGCCTGGTCAGTCAGTGTCCTTGGCAGGGAGGCGAGTGGAAGGAGAGTCCCTGCCTGGAGTGAGATCTTTGCTGATGTGGCCCGCAGGCTGGGGAAGCCCAGCCAGCACTGTGGGGTGGGGGTCTGGGAGCTGAGCCAACTGCTGCCCCCGGGAGGCAGGAGCCAGGCAGGTTCCAGCTGACTCCCCCAGCGGAGGCCTGGGTTTACTGGAGGGAGGATGCTTTCTTGCCTTCCTCCCCCAGGAGAGGGAGGGGCAGAGGGGCTCCTGCTCACTTCTTTCTGTGTGGCCCTTGGTCAGCCTTCTGAGGTTAAAACCTGTCTCCTGCTGAGAGAAGCAAGAGCCTGCCCCGGCACAGCTCCAAGAGTCTCAGACTGGTTCCAGGGCAGTGGGCTGGGGCTGGGTCCTCAGGCTGCCATTCGTGACCTGGGAAACTGGGCTCATCACCCCAATATCTCTGAGCCGCAATTTCCGTACCAGTGCAGCGGGGTGACGGCGGGGATGAGGGTTGCTCTGATGATCACAGACGCCATGGCGCCAAGCGTTTGGAAAACGGCAAAGACTTGTGAGGGATTCCCATTTCAGAGACCGGCTACTCAAAGTCTCATCCGCTGACACCAGGATCAGATCACCCAGGCACGTGTAAGAACTGCAGAATCTGGGACCAGCAGATGGCATAATGGCTATGTTGCTGGACTCCCATGTACTCAATCACAGTTTGAGTCCTGGACCCAGTGGCTTAAACCTCACGCCGGGTGCTTGTGCCCGTGTGCCCCAAATCCCGAGAGAATAGAGGAGAAGGGATTGTGGCATGGCCATTCCCCTGGAGGGTGATTTCGCTCTTTCTGTCTCTCTCTGCCTCTCTCTGTCTCTCCGGCAAGCACATGTGCCCTATAGCAAAAAAAAAAAAAGAAAGAATCTGGGGCCAGCAGGTGGCGTGGTGGTTCAGGGAGCTGGACTCCCACATGTCCAACCTCAGTTCAAGTCCTGGACCTGGCAGCTTGCTTTCTCACCCCCGCTCCCCTGTCCCTCTCTGGTCAAATTGAAATAAATAAATAAAGTTGAATATTCCTTTTTGTTTTTTTTTTTGAAAGAGATTTTTAAAATAGAGTGCATGTGCTCGCCAGACATAGAGACAGAAAGCGAGAAATCACTGCTCACCCCCTCCCCCAGGGGATGGCCACGCCACCCGTTCTCCTCTTAGGATTTTGGGCATGTATACACATGCGCTCAGCATGAGTTTCAAGTTGCAGAGCCTGGACTCCAGCCATGGTTGACAACATGAGAGTCCAGTGACATAACTGCTATGCCATCTGCTGGACCCAATAAAATAATTGATTTTTTTTTTTTTTCTACAGGGTGTGTGCGCTCGCCAGAAAGACAGAGAGAGACAGAAAGCGAAATCACCCCCCAGGGGGGATGGCCACACCACAATCCCTTCTCCTCCATTCTCTTCTCGGGATCTTGGGCACATACGCCCGGCATGAGTTTAAGCCACCGGGTCCGGGACTTGAACGAACCACAGTCGACTACATGGGAGTCCAGCGACATAGCCATTACGCTAACTGCTGGTCCCTAAAATAATTCTTTTTAAAGAAAGTAAAAAGAAATGCAGAATCTTGGGCTGCACCCAAGATATTCATTGAATTTTTTTTTTTTTTTTTGCTAACAGTCATGTGTGCTCACTGGAGAGAAAGAGAGAGAGAGAGAGAAAGAGGGAAAATGAGAAAACGTCCCCCTAAGGGGGATGGACATGCCACAATCCCTTTTCCATTCTCCTCTTGGGATTTTAGGCATGCATGCACGCCTGGCATTGTTCAAGCTACTGAGTCCAGGACTTGAACCACACAATTGGCCACATGGGATCCAGCTGCCTTAAGCTCCACGCTACCTGCGGGCCCACTGCATGGATTTTCCAGGATTCCCCGGGTGATTTGAATGCACATTAGTGCAGGAGAAACTGTGCTTGCCTTTCCCCAGGACCTCCCCTCTTCCCACAGAGCTGCAGGTTCTGCCAGGGCTGCTGATGTTGCCACGGGGGTGTCTGGGTCCCCCTCCTCTCTGTGCAGGTGGGTAGGCAGCACTGGGTGGGCCCCGGCAAGGCCAGCTGGACCAGGCCAGGCAGGAACCTGAGGCGCAGCACCACAGCATGGGGAAGGGTGGGCTTTGAGACATGGCCTCCACTGCCCAGGCCCAGGCCCAGGCCCAGGCACAAGGAGGAGGCCCCTGCCTTGCCCACCAGCAAGTACAGCAAGGCTGGCTATGGTTACAGACCAGCCAGAGTGAGGGCCGCTTGGCCTAACCCAGACTCAGGATGTAGCAAAAGAGGCAGCCCCAAAGGAGGCTGGGCAGAGACTGGGACCTTGCCAGGCTGGCTAAGGGCACTGGGTGGCTACAGGGCAAGGCCACAGGGCAGCAGAAGTGGAGAACCCAGGGGTCAGCACAGTCTGGGCAGGAAACCATGGCCACACACTCAGTCCTGGCTCTTCCAGGGTCTAGGCCCCAGGACTATGGTGCTCAGGCTGAGAGGGCCAGCATGTCACCCTATTCCTGTCAGAGACTGCCTGGCTCTACCCTGCTTACGCTGGCTGCCATCAGGGAAGGAGAAGGGAGAGGGTGCAGCAACCACCCTGACCGCTGCGGCAAAGCCCTACCACCAGCTCCGGTGTCTCCAGGACTGAGCAGGAGACAATGGAATGGGAGTCACAGCAGGGCTTGGGAACTGAGGCTGGCTAGGTGGAGCCCATGGGTGCGGCACCCTCCAAACTGGTGTCAGAGCCTGCAGATGAGTCCCGGGAGGAGCGGCCCTGTAGGAAGCGGATGATCTTCTCAATGGTGGCCTCCTGGTACTCGTGGGACCACCTGTGGGCACAGACACCATATGGATCAGAGGGCTGGGCAGAGGTACTGCTGGCCGGGGACCTGTGCTGCCCCTGCTGCCTGTGGCATGATCTGTCCTGCCCCCACAGAGCTCTGCACCCAGGGCCCCAGCTCACTTGATGCCATTGAAGGTAAGCACAGCCTGCATGTCCTCTGGCAGGGCCTGGGGCTCAGGCCACTCGAAGCCGTCAATCACCGGCACAATGTTCTTGCCACAGCTTAAGGCGGTCACAATCTCCTGGAGAAAGAAGAGAGGGGAAGAGGAAAGGCTTCTGGGGACCCTGGGGCCAGGTAGGTGCTGGGAGGGTCACTAGCCAAGGCTGGACCCAGGACAGAGCACTGGTCCTGACTTCTCCCGTACCCTCTGCATATAACAAAAAAGAACTGTCTGGGGCCCAGCTGTGGAAGCACAGGCTGTAGGGTTCTGCTGCGCGATACTGGAGCCATATGGGAAGCCCCGGGTTTGGATCCAGGTGAACCTGAACACAGCGCACAATACGCCCACAGTTCTGGCTGGATGAGAGGCTGAAAGGAGGATCACAAAGTGGCAAGACTCCCTCAAGGGTACCTGTGTCTCGAGGGTGTCTCTCTGTCTCTGTCTCATGAAAGAAGTAAACAGGGGCTGGACTTTGGCACACGGGTAACACAATGCTCTATGAGGCTGACCCCTGTGGGAAGGTTCCCGGTTTAGGTCCAGAGACCTCCCTGAACTATCCCCATGATCTCGGCTGGCTGAAGCTGGAGGTGGAGAGTAACAAGAGGACCCTGTGGGGGTTGTCTGTCTGTCTGTCTCTCTCTCTTTCACATGGAAGAAATAAAATTTAAAAATTAAAATATAAATATAAATACCTGTATAAGTATATATTATATAAAATAGATGATATAAAATATATAAGTATATATGTGCGCATGCACACACACATTTGATGCTGGGGCTCCTGGCACAGACATCCTAAAACCTTCATTAGATCCTGAGTGGCAAGTGTCTTTTGTATGCTATGGACTAGACTCCTAGCCGGGGGTGGGGGTGGTGGCCTTAGCTTCAGAAATGGGCTGGTCACCAGAAAGACCGAGACATGGTGGGTCAGAACTTTCAGCCCCACTCCACAACCTCCAGAGAGATCGAGTGCAACCACCAATGGCCGGTGATTTAATCAATTGTGCCTATGTAATAAAAGCCCTATAAGGGGCTGGCAAGTGGCCTGGTGGTTAAAGGTGCTGGACTCTCACATAGCCGACCACAGTTCAAGTCTTGGACCTGGTGGCTTGCTTTCTCACTTTCTCTCTCTCTCTCTCTCTGTCTCTCTCTGATCAAACTGGAAAATAATAATGATAATAACAATAAATAAGGTTAAATAAAAATAGTTCTTTTAAAAAAAAAAAGTCCTATAAAAGCCCCTAAGCCGTGAAGTCTGACGAGTTCCCGGGTGGTGAAGACATCGCGGGGCCGGGAGGTGGTGCTCCAGAGCACGGGCACTCAGTGCTCCGCCCCTCTGAGCCCCTCTTCCATCCAGCCATTCCTGAGTTGTGTCCTTTATGAAAAACTACTGACCGTAAGTGCAGTGCTGTGAGTCATTCTATCGAATTCCTGAACTTGGGGGGGTGGTCACAGGAGTCCCCAAATTTATAATCAAGTCAGACGGAAGTGCAGTAGCCCATGGCCCAGCCCTCGGACCAGCATCTGCAGTGAGGGTAATTTGTGGGACTGAATTCCTTTTCTTTTTTAAGAGAGATTTTTCTATAGGGTACATGCACTTGTTGGAGACATAGAGACAGAAAGTGAGGGACCAGCAGATGGAGTAATGGCTACATTGCTGAACTCGCATGAAGTCGACCGTGGTTCGAGTCCCAAACCCGGTGGCTTAAACTCACGCTGGGAGTGTGTGTGCATGCCCAGGATCCCAAGAGGAGAATGGAGGAGAAGGGATTACTGCATGGCCATCCCCCTAGGGGGGTGATTTCTCACTTTCTGTCTCTGTCTCGCTCTGTCTTTTTAGCTAGCACACACTCCTTATAGCAAAAACCTCTCAAAAAAAAAAAAAAAAAAAAAGAAAGAAAATGAGAAGTTACTCCCCAGGGGGCATGGTCACACCACAATCCCTTCTCCTCCATTCTCCTCTCAGGATTTTGGGCACACACGCCCAGTGTGAGTTTTAAGCCTCCAGGTTCAGGACCTGAACCACAGTCAGCCATGGGGAGTCCAACGACATAATCATTACTCCATCTGGTGGTCCCAGGACTGAGTTCTTAAACCCATGGAATCTGACACTGCAGTATCGAATTAAGGTGCAGGATACCCAGTTACTGTCAGAATTGGAGAACTTGGGAACCAGCAGTTAGCGTAATGGCTATGTCGCTGGACTCCCACGTAGTCAACCGCAGTTCGCGTCCCAGACCCGGTGGCTTAGAACTCACGCCGGGCGTGTGTGCGTGCGTGCCCAAGATCCCGAGAGGAGAATGGAGGAGAAGGGATTGCGGCGTGACCATCCCCCCTGGGGAGTGATTTCTCGCTTTCTGTCTCTCTGTCTCTCTCTGTCTCTCTCTGTCCGTCTGGCGAGCGCACTCGCCCTATAGCAAAAACCTCTCAAAAAAAAAAAAAAAAAGAATTGGAGAATTTGTCAGCGGGGAAAACACCAAAAGACTTAATGTCAGAAGAAAACTATCATATCCCCCATCATGAGCGCTGCCAAGCACAGCTCTCACTTATTCTCAAATCCACCATTGTCCTCTACCTCCATCCCACAACCACCTGCTTCAAACCTGTTCTTTCTAGCTCCCGCCAGGTCCCTCCTCACTCTTGTCCCCCCTCTAATCTGTTTGCCATGTCGCCCTTTTGCCAACTTAACCTTTGCAAAATGCTGAGCTGACAGATCCGATCATGTCGCCCCCTACTCAAAATTTAGACTGTATATGGCTCTTGGAATAAAATCCAGTCTCCTTGGGCCAGCCCCGTACCACAGTGATTAAGGGTGCTGGCTCCCACATGGTTGACCAAGGTTCGAATCCTGGCCCTTGGTGGCTTGAAAAACACGTCAGGTACATGTGTGTTTGCCCCAAATCCTGATGGGATGGAGAAATGAAGGGAAAGGGATCGCAGTGTGACCTCACCCCACTTAGGGGTGCTCTCTTTCTAGTGAGTGCACGCATCCTCTGGCAATTAAAGAAAAAGTCTTCTCTGCCAGGAAAGGGCAGAGCCCATGTCTGCTTTTACTCCCCTCCTAGCTCAGGATCTTGCACACAGCCCTGCCCAGCCTCAGCCCTCGCTGCCATGTAACGGATGGAGAAGCACAGCATGGCGGTCAGGGGCGCATGCTGAATCATCAGATCCGGATCAACGGCCAGTCTCTGACACAGGCTCTGTGACCCGAGTCAGAGGTCTCAAAGTCTGTTTTTAATATCTAAAATAGTGTTAGTGATAGTCCTTCTCTTGTAGGATTGTTGCACGGAATAACGGCCACATCCCATGGAAAGTGATTAGCGTGTGGTGTCTGCTTGATAAATGCTATGATTTCCTCCCCTAAAGCGGGACTAATCAGGACTTACCTCCCTAGGTTGTTCTGAGGCTATGACTTATTACTACTGGTGCTCTGAGAAGTACTTATTGAATGTTTTTCCTTTCAAGAGGGGACCACAGGGATGCACCTTCTTGAGTGCAGTTCACTTGTGGTTTCCATATTGATTACCCAGTAAATGTGGCTTCAGGGAAAGGATTTTTAAAACCAGAGACGATTAAGCACTGAAAACAACCAAAGAGAGATGACGGAGCCTTTGGAACTGGTCCAGGGCAAAGGCTCCTGCTACTCCACCTGCCTCCCCTCTTTACCCCATCTGCCGGGACAGCAGTGGGTGTCAAGCATCCTCATGAAGCGCAGCCTTCCAAGGTAAAGAACCTGCATAACTTTAACTCTGGCTTTCTGGGGCACCTCCCCACTTTACAGATGAAGAGAAGGAAGCCCAGTGAGGGGAATGGACTTCCTCCCAAATAGCCAGGCTTCTGACTCAAGCCTTCAGAGTCTGAGTCCAGGACTGTCTCAGCAAGCCCTATTGCCTCTCTGTAGAGCATGTGGATGAATCTTGGCCCTTGGGGAGTCCTTAGACATCTGTCTCATCCAGAATTGTGCAGAACCAGAGATGTCACAATCTGTTCATTGCACACAGTCAAGGGCTGGCAAGGAAAGGGATAATAGCTTTGCCATGGTTTAAATGTGCCCCCCCATATTCATGCGTTGGGATTTGGTTGTGAAGAGATTAAGGAGGTAAAAATGTAATCCAAGTATATTGTTGAAAGGTGGGGCCTTTGGGAGGCGATTAGGATGAAGGTCATCAGGGCGGGACCCCCATATTGACTTCAGGTGAGTTTACAAGGAGAGAGAATGAATCCAGAAACAAGGACACAGATGCATGCACAGGGCCCCTCTGCCATGTTATGATGTAGCCAAAAGACTCTCACCAGACGTGGCCTCTAGACCTTGACCCTCCAAACCATGAGCTGAATAAACACCTTTTTTTTTTTTTTTGGAGAGGTTTTTGCTATAGGGTGCGTGCGCTCACCAGGCAGACAGAGAGAGACAGAGAGACAGAAAGGGAGAAATCACCCCCCCAGGGGGGATTGCCACGCCGCGATCCGTTCTCCTCCCTTCACCGCAATCCGTTCTCCTCCATTCTCCTCTCGGGATCTTGGGCACGCACGCACACGCGCCCGGGGTGAGTTTAAGCCACCGGGTCCCGAACGTGAACCGTGGTCGACTACTTGGGAGTCCAGCAACATAGCCATTATGCTAACTGCTGGTCCCAACCCCTATTTTTAGAAATGACCCAGACTCGAGTATTTTCTGTTACTAGCAACAGAATGAACTAGAACAGAAGAGCACTGAGAAGTAGGGTTGTTGCTTACAACAAAGGTCTCAAAGTCCATTTTTAATATCTAAAATAGTGTTACTGATAGTCCCTCTCTTGTAGGATTCTTGCCCAGAATAACAGCAATATTCCACGGAAAGATACCTAAAAATGTTGAAGTGGCTTTGAAACTGGGTAACGAGCAGAGATTGGAAGAGTTTGAAGGAGCGTAACAGAAAAAGTCTATAATGCGTTAAAAGTGACCCTGGTGGAGAGTCAGAAGATGAGAAGGCTGACCTGGTGGTGTGGTGTCTAAGGGAGCTGGACCCCACAAGGCCAACTGTGAAGTTTAAATTCCAGCCCCGGGCAACTTGAAAAAGTTGAATGCCTATGTATGCATGGCCCAAATACCAACAGGATGGAGAAACCATTCCAGCACCAACTCAAAAGTCCAAGTTCAAAGTCTCATCTGAGACTTGGCAAACTCACCACCTTTGAGCCTGTGAAATCAAAACAAATTACAAGCTCCCAGAATTCAGTGGTGACATAGGCATGGGCAGGAATTCCCATTACGTAAGGAGAGAGAAGTAACAGTCCCATGCACATCCGAACTCCAGAATTACTTTTCCTTCATGTGCCACATTCTGGATGCCCTGGTGTGACCACACCTGGCCGGGGAGTGCTTTCTCACTCTTCTTTTCCCTCTCCCTCTGTATCTCTGTCTCTCTCCAAAGAGTGCACAAACTCTCTTGTGGAGAGTGCACAAGCTAGAGAAAGTTTGGAACTTCTTAGAGACTAGTTAAATAGTGGTGACCAGTATGCTGATAGAAACATGGACAGGAAAGGCTGCCCTAAGAAGGTTTCAGAGAAAAAAAGTAATATATTATTGCACGTTGGAGAAAAGGTCATCATGCTACATCATTGCAATGACTTTGGCTGCATTGTGCCAAAGCCCTAAGGTTTGTAGAATATTGAATCTAAAATCTGGCAGATGACATTTCAAAGCAAGATACAGACAGAGCTGTGTGGTTGCTCTTAGCACCATACAGTGAAATGAAAGGGCAAAAAGATGACTTAAAAACAGAACTTATAATGAAAAGGGAAGCAGAACAGAAAATTGGGGAAATCCAAGACTGACCGTGTGGTAAAGAATGAAGGAGCATTTCAGGACAGAAAACTAAAACAATCAATTACAAAAGAGATTAGCAAAGATAGAAGAAATGCAGGAAGGCAATGTGAGAAAGACCTCAAGAGCATTTCCGAGATCTTTGGGGTTGCCTTTCCTGATTCAGGTAAGAGGCCTAGGAAAGCACCATGATTTCAGGGGACTAGCCCTGATTGGGCTCCTGGTTGAGTTCTGATCCACCTCAGGACTCTACTCCCCACATTCTGATAAATAATCTCTCTCTTTTTAAAATAATTATCTTATTTAACTCTATTTATTTATTTATTTTAATTTGACTAGAGAGGGACAGATTGAGAGAGAGAGAAAGTGAGAAAGCAAGCCACTAGGGCCGGGACTCAAACCGCATTTGGCCATGTGGGAGCCCAGCGCCTTTAACCACTGCACCACCTGCCGGCTTCTCTGATAAATAATTTCTTAGCCCTGGCTGTGTTTCAAGCTACCTTAGTTACAGCTCAACCCACTATTATGAAATCTACTCTAGAATGTACAAGCAGCAGATGGTGGCATGCATGTCAAGGTAACTCTTCAGGTTCACAGAATTCAAGAGCTATGGAGGCATGGAAGTTTCCATCTAGAGCTCAAAGAATGTCTCAGACAACCCGGGACCTAGGTAACTACTTGACCCAGAGGCAGACCCACTGGAGAGCCCCCCTCCCCCCCTTCACCACCAGGGCAATGCCAAGTAGAAGTGGGTCAGAGCTGCCACAGAGTGTTCCACCAGAGCAATGCCTAGTGGAGTCACAGGAGTAGGATTGCCCTTGAGATCCCGGAACGATAGTGCTAACAGTATAGTGCCAGCCTGGGAGAAGTGCAAGTTGGAGACTCCGAACTGAGAGAGCTGAAACATGGACTGAGTCTAGTAAAGTCATGGGGGTAAGGCTGTGGACATAGTGATCCAACACTAACGCATCCAGAATGTGACACATGGAAAGAAAGATTATTCTGGAATCTGAAGATTAAATGTCTGCCTTCTGGGTTTCAGATGTACATAGATCCTATTACACCTTTCTCTTTGTGGAATGGGGATTTCTTTCTTTTTCTTTTCTTTTTTTTGGAGAGTTTTTTCCTATAGGGCGTGTGTGCTCACCAGAGAGAGAGAGAGACAGAGAGACAGAGAGACAGAAAGCAAGAAATCACTCCCCAAGGGGGATGGCCACACCACAATCCGTTCTCCTTCATTCTCCTCTCAGGATCTTGGGCACACACGCACAAGCACCTGGCATGAGTTTAAGCCGCCGGGTCCGGGACTCAAACTGCAGTCGACTATATGGGAGTCTAGCGACGTAGCGATTATGCCATCTGCTGGTCCCTGTGGAATCGGATTTCTACCCATGCCTTTTTTACCATTATATTTGGGAGCATGTAACTTGTTTTGGTTTCAAAGGCTCAAATGTGACAAGTTTGCCCTGAGTCTCAGATGAGACTTTTGACTTGGATTTTTTTTTTTTTTGAGAGGTTTTTGCCGTAGGGCGCGCACGCTCACCAGACAGACAGAGAGAGACAGAGAGACAGAAAGCAAGAAATCACCCCCAGGGGGGATGGCCACGCCGCAATCCCTTCTCCTCCATTCTCCTCTCAGGATCCTCGGCACACACGCACACGTGCCTGGTGCGTTTTAAGCCACTGGGTCCGGGACTCGAACCATGGTTGACTACATGGGAGTCCAGCGACATAGCCATTATGCTAACTGCTGGTCCCTTGACTTGGACTTTTGAGTTGGTGCTGGAATGAATTAACTTTTGGGACTACTGGGATGATGTGTATGAGAAAAAATCCAGGAACAGCTGGAAGTGTGGTCAGAGGGGCTGGGCCCCTCATGGATCCAGCTGACTGCACCACTCAAGTCTCAGACTCTGTGGCTTGGCAGACACACTGGGTGCACGAGCACGGGTGCCCAAAATCCTGAGAGCAAACGGAGAAGGGACTGTGACGTGGCCATTCTCCCTGAGATGCTTTCTCAGTTTCTCTCTCTGTCTCTGTCTATCTCTGGTGAGTGCATGGGCCCTATAGCAAAGGAAAAGAAAGGAAGGAAGGAAGAAAAGAAGGAGGGAAGGAAAAAAGAGTGAATATATGAATTTTGTGGGCCAGGTGTGGGATGCTATGGGTTTTTTTGTTTTTCTTTAGAGAGGGATTTTTGCTATAGGGTGCATATGCTTGCCAGACAGACAGAGTGAGACAAAAAGTGAGAAATCACTCCCCCAGGGGGATGGCCATGCCACAATCCCTTCTCCTCCATTCTCCTCTCGGGATATTGGACACACACGCACACATGCCGGGTGCGTTTAAGCCACCAGGTCTGAGACTCGAACCACGGTTGACTACATGGGAGTCCAGCGACATAGCCATTGTGCCAACTGCAGGCCCCTAATTTATTTATTTTAAATTGACTTGAGAGGAAGAAAGTGAAAGAGAGAGAGAGGGAAAGTGAGAAAATAAGCCGCCAGGTCTGGGACTCAAACCGCGGTTGGTCCTGTGGGACTCCAATATTCTTTTTTCTTCTTTTTTTGGAGAGGTTTTCACTGTAGGACACGTGCGCTCGCCAGGCAGACAGAGAGAGACAGAGAGACAGAAAGCAAGAAATCACCCCCCCCCCAGGAGGGATGGCCACGCCGCAATCCCTTCTCCTCCATTTTCCTCTTGGGATGCTGGGCACGCACACACACGCGCACAGCGTGAGTTTAGGCCGCCAGATCCAGGACGCGAACCACGGTCGACTACATGGGAGTTCAGCGACATAGCCATTACGCTAACTGCTGGTCCCGGGACTCCAATACTCTTAACCACCATGCCACCTGCCGACCTCCCGATGCTATGGTTTTAATGATCCCCAAATTTTATGTGCTAGAATTTAGTTGTGATGGGATTAAGGGTGTGAAAACTTAATCCAACTTTGGTGTTGAAAAGTGAGGTCATTGGAAAGAAATTAGAATTAAGGTTATCAGGGCAGGGGCCCCATAACTGACTCTTGAATTTAAAGCCACCAGCTCTGGGACTCAAACTGTGGTTGGCCATGTGAGAGTCCAGCAACATAACCACTACACCATCTGCATAGTGTGTCTTAACGATTCCATTCTGTCTGTTGCTATGCTCCCCCGTGCTTCATGGTATCTATTTCTCAGAGAATTTTCACCCCTCTCTAACTGGCACAATTCCACAAGGCGAGTAAGACAGATAAGATATCCCCATTTGGTAGAGAAGAAAAACAGGCTTAGAAAGTAGCTTGCTAACATTCTGCTACGGTCAGAACCATGGTTCTTCTTTTTCGTTTTTTAGGAATTATTTACCTAATTTTATTCATTGTCATTATTACTATTTTTAAATTTGCTACAGGACAAAAAGAGAGACACAGAAAGAGAGAGAGAGAATGTGAGAAAGCAAACTGCAGTCTCCCATGTGGGAGTCCAGCACCCTAACCGCTATGCAGCCTTCTGGCCCCCAGAACTATGGTTCTTGGCTCCCAGCTGAGCCAGGGAGGCTTGAGGAGTAAGTGTTACGAGGATGTATACACAAGAAGGAACGGGAGGTGGACCCCGTCTCTGGGCCCACAGGCCAAGGCTGGGACTGCAGAGACCTGCTAGCACCTACCTTGTGCACCCAGTCCTTGCAGTCATGGTCCTGCATGCACTTGTCCAGTGCCCCAGCTGACAGCACCAGCACGAAGTTGCGGGCACCCATGACACTCTGGATGAGCTTGTCCTCGAACTTGCCTGCTTCCAGCTTCTCCACATCAATGAAGACACTGAAGCCGTGCAGCTGCAGGTGCACCTTCAGGAGGCTGCAAAGAGGTGCTGTGTCATTGCCATGGCCTCACCCCAAGGCCCAGCCTGCCTGCCTGCTCCTCCTCACCTGGCCAGTTGGGAGCCTGAGTTCCGGCGGTAGCTGATGAAGACATCCGGAGTGTCCCCACTGGGCTTGCAGCTGGTGCAGGGAAGTGGGGAGTGGAGCATTTCTGGGACAGAGGAGAGATGACACAGTGAGGACGGCCCCTACCCATCACTCACACGAACCACTGCATCCCTTGGGGACTCAGCCCTCTCAGCCCAGCCTATACAGGGCAGATTGTCCCACACTGTCACAGGGGACTGGACGGTGGCAGTGGTAAAACTCAATGCTCTGTGAGACTGACCCACGTGGGGAAGGTCTGGGTTTTTATCTGGGGACTCTGTGGTCCAGGACTGGCTGAGGATGGGAGTGGGTCTTGGACCCAAGATTCTGTCTCTCTCATGCGTGGAGGACATAAATATAAATTTCATAAAGGATCACTGAAGTGGCAAGGTGAGGCCTACAGGAAGAAAGGCCATAACTGTGGGAGAGCCCCTCTCCAGGGGCAGGCACTGTGTTTTAGGGACATTGACAAGCACTTCCAGCCCTGCTCTCGCTCCAGAATGCAGACCTACAGCCAGCTGGCTTCAGGCACTCCAAACAACACATCCCAACCCCTCAAGCCAGAAACGTAGGTATCAGCCTCCACTATAGCCACTCATTCAATATTCACTGAGGACTTACTATGTGCCAGACAGCATCCTTGATGCTTGGGCTGCAGCAATGAACAAAATGACAAAATCCTGCTCTCCTGGAGCTGCCAGTCAGTGCTCAGAGCTGGGGAGCAGGCTCTGTGGGTTCTATTTACTCAACATCCTGGACTCAGTTCCAGGCCTCCCCCCATATCCAGGCCCCCAACTCCCACCTCCTTTAGTGGTCTCCCTAACCTAACTAGCATTGCCTAGTCTAACCATTCGCCTCAGCTACCAGAGGTCTTTTTCTAAAGTCCAAATCTGAGCGTGTCATTGCTCTCATTTAAGAACTGTGCTTGGGGCCAGCAGGTGGTGTAGTGGTTAAGGTGTTGGACTCCCACACAGCTGATTGCAGTTTGAGTCCCAGACCTGGCAGCTTGAGACTCATGCTGGGTATATGAGCATGCATGCCCCAAATCTCAAGACTCCTCTTGAGGATGGAGGAGAAGGGACTGCGATGTGGCCATCGCCCCGGGGGGTGATTTCTTACTTTCGCCTTGCTCTCTGATGAGTGCACATGCCCTATAGCAATAATCTTTCTCCAAAGAATTTTTTTTAAATGTGCTTGGCTCCCACTGCTGACAGAAGCTAATTTTTATAAGCTATTTTTGCCCTAGGAGCCTCCTGTTTTTAAAACTCACGTCTCAGGGCTGGGCCTGTAGTGCAGTGGTTATGTGCCGTTCACTGGGAGTCATACCCCACATGGCCAATCAGTGCGAATCCCAGCCCCAGTAACTTGAAAATCACACGGAGTGTGTGTAGGCTTGTGCCCAGGATGCTGATGGGATGGAAAAAAGAAGAAAAAAGGATTGTGGTGTGACGATGCCTCATGGGGAGGGTGCTTTCTCTCTCTCTCTCTCTCTCTCTCATTCTCTTTCAGTCTCTGGCAGGTATACATGACTTCTGGCAATTAAAAAAATTAGAAATGAAATCTTGGAGTTTTATCGAGAACTGCAGTGTAAAAATAATAAAAGCAGACATGCTTTGGTTGAAGCGAAAGAATGCGCCAGCGCTCAGTCCCTTCCCCCACGTAGAAGCGTAGTATGCACTCGGTGACGAAGTGGCGGACACGGAAAATCATCCTAACACGGTCAGACAACACCTGTCTGCTTACAAAGCGGAAAAGCGGGCTCAAGTTCCAATCTGTTATAACCTCAGAAAAGTACAATTGGCCCTCTGCATCTGTGGACTCAACCATGGATCTAAAAAATACATATATTAAAAAATAATAATAACAACATGGGAACAGCAGATGGTGTAATGAATGTAGTTGACCATGGTTCGAGTCACGGTGGCTTAAAACTCAGGCCAGGATTCCAGAAGGAACAAGAGTGTGGTGTTAGCATGGGGAAACAAAGGAAAATAGGAAGAATGTGACCATGGAGCAAATGCTTAGTCTCATAGACCAGAGGCTTAAAGAAAAGGATAGATTAAAACCTAGAAAGAAAGAAAAGAAAGATCCTAGCATGCTGAAGGAAAGAGACGTCCCCCAACACCCTTCCTGCTTATTCTTTCAATATAATACACAGCTGGGTCCCCCTTACACATCCTGGTTGATCCAACTTTATCAACTTTTCCATTAAAGCCGAACTGGACTCAGTGCAGTCGGCGATGGACTGTCTAAATGCCAAGTGCATCCCTTGTATGACTGACTCTGTAATAGCTGAAATTGAGAAATCAGGGCAAAAGTATCGAGTGGCTCTAAGGATCGCCAAGGATCCAGGATTTTACCATGCACACACAAAGGATGACTGCTTAGTACAGAGAGTAACTGACCAGAGAGAGACAAAGAGAGAACGAGAGAAAGTGAGAAAGCAGGCCACTAGGTCCAGGATTTGAACTGTGGTTGACCATGTGGGAGAGTCCAGTGCTTAACTATCACACTACCTGTTGGCCCCTCTTTTTATTCTTTTAACAGTTTTTTTTTTTTTGAGAGATTTTTTTGCTATAGGGCGCGTGCGCTCGCCAGACAGACAGAGAGAGACATAGAGACAGAAAGCGAGAAATCACCCCCCAGGGGGGATGGTCACACCGCAATCCCTTCTCCTCCATTCTCCTCTCGGGATCTTGGGCACACATGCACATGCGCCTGGCGTGAGTTTTAAGCCACCGGGTCCGGGACGTAAACGCGGTCAACTACGTGGGAGTCCAGCGACATAGCCATTACACTAACTGCTGGTTCCCATTCTTTAAACAGTTTTTAGGCCCAGTCCTAGAGCTTAGTGATTAGGGGAGCTGGATCATGTTGAAATCCTAAATCCCTGGCTTGAAAAAGAACACTGGGCGCATGTGCAGGCAGGCCCAAATCCTGGTAAGACCGAGAAACAGAAGAGAAGCACTGTGGGGTGACCATGCCTCTTTGCAGGGTGTTCGCTTCTTTCTCTCTCTCTGTCTCTCTCTCTCTGGCAAGAGCACACACCCTCTGGCAATTAAAAAAAAAGTTCTTAAAGTATATTTATTTATTTTTATATAGACCATAGATTAGTTTATTTTTAACATCCATCAAGCCATGAATTCATAGGGAATAGGTTCCAGAAGCTCAGGCTCCTTTCCATTGGTTCTCACAGAGTGTGCTTCTCTGGGGGGAGCAGGCTGGTGCTTTAGTTGAACCCAGGTTCCTTTCTCTTTGGCTTGTTTCTTTTTCTGGTCATTTTCCTTCACACATTTTAGGAAGCTATCTCTGCTCTTAGAATGCTCAATATGCTCAATACGCACATTCATTCTCTTGGCAAGAATCTTGCCGTTAACTTGTTTGTTCACAACGATGCCAACAGCATGGTAGACTCTTCCAGTTTTGCCATGGTAACATTTGGGGGCATTCCTTTTTGAACAGTACTGATTCCCTGATGTCTACAATATCACCTTCCTTGTAGATTCCCATGTATGTTGCCAAAGGAACCATTCCATGTTTTCTAAAAGGCCTAGAGAACATATATCAGGTGCCTCTCCTCTTTCCCCGTCATTTTGGTTAATTACTGGAAGATGGCGGTTCTGGCCAAAAGCAAATTTTACTTTTTTTAAAAAAGAATTATTAATTTAATTTAATTAATTGATTAATATTCTTCAATTTGACCAGAAAGAAGAGAGAGGGAGAGGGAGAGTGAGGGAGAGTGAGACAGAGCAAGAGAGAGGGAGAGTGAGAAGGCAATCAGACAGGTCTGGGACTCAAACCATGGTTGGCCATGTGAGAGTTTAGCACCTTAACCACCACACCACCAGCCGGGCCCTAAAGTTGATTTAAAAAGAAAAAATTAACACCCACTGCATGGCATAGATGTTGAGATTAAGGAAATAATATCTTAAAAACTTAATACAGTACTTGGTATATAGTAGTTGACAATAAATATTAACTAAGTAGTAAATTAAAACAGTAAATCAAAATAACTTGATGAATATAAAGGTTGCTAGACCACAAGAATCCATTCTCAAGCATCTCTAGAACCCATATTATTTTTTAACTTGCCAGAGGGCATGTGCACTTGCCAGAGAGAGATACAGAGAAGAAGAGGGAAAAAGCACCCCCACACACATGCACACACACACACACACACTAAGTGGGGGCATGGCTTCAATCCCTTCTCCAACCTGTCAAGATTTGGACCGCACATACACACACCCCATACATTTTTTTTTTTGGAGAGGTTTTTGCTATAAGGCACGTGCGCTCGCCAGACAGAGAGAGACAGAGAGACAGAAAGCGAGAAATCACCCCCCCAGGGAGGATGGCCACGCTGCAATCCCTTCTCCTCCATTCTCCTCTCAGGATCTTGGGCACACACGCACATGTGCCCAGCATGAGTTTAAGCCACCGGGTCCAGGACTCGAACTGCGGTCGACTACGTGGGAGTCCAGCGACATAGCCATTACACTAACTGCTGGTCCCAACACCCCATATATGGGAAGGGGATTCAAACTCTGGGGTTGGCCATGTGAGCTCTGGCTCCCTTAACCTCTAGACCACAGGCCTGGTCCTCCAGCACTGATACTTCGTAAGCTTTGGCTGGTCAGCAAGCCTGGGTATTCCACCAGTAGCCTGTGTACGCACCCTCCATGCTCTGACCTACCTGTAGACTTCATATGCTGTCCCTGTACTGGGGTAGGGGGATACCCCATCACTACCCTCTTCTTGCCATCACCCACACTTTCTCTCCACAATACATCTCTTGAGGTGTGGTCAGGCATCCTCTCTGAAGCTGGGACCTAGGTGACAGGATACTCCCCTTTGGCTCCCTCTTGTGTCCTGGACGTGATCCCAGCAGGGCTTATCTGTTATTTATTACTGCTTGATATCCAGCCTCCCACCCTCCTGGACTAGGAAGGTCTTAATGGGAAAAGCACAACGTATCCTTCACATCCTTAGTGCCCCGTCTGTACTCAGGTGAGGCTCTGTGGATCCCCTCACCCACCGGGGCTGGGTTGGGGCGTCAGTCCCAGTGGGCCGGCTGACCTCTGGCTGCGGTGAGGATGCGCACGCGGTGAACCCCCAGGCGGACGCCGCAGTCCTCCAGGAGCTGCTGCTCAGACACGCGGTGCAGCAGCGAGCGGTCCAAGCCGCAGCTGACCAGGCCGTAGGTGTACTGGCGGAAGCGGCGGTCCAGGCTGCCTAGCCAGTCTGCCAGGTTGCTGCGGTCGCACGTGGCATAGTTGGCGAAGGTCTTGAGTTCCGTGAGCTCCCTAAAAAACCTGCACCCCAAGGAGAAGATGCTGAAGTCCTGACGGGGGTGGGGCGGGGAGTGCAGGATGCTCCATACCTCTTGCGGGTGATGCCTGATTTCATGCCGAGGTCGGTCTTAAGTTCCTCCTCCGTGAGCCTCAGAAGCAGGTCGCCGTCCACCTGCTGCTCCTGGAGGAGGGATCAGGTGTGAGGAAGGGCTCCCCTCTTCCAGCGGTGGAGACGGCGAACAGGACCCAGATTACAGCCGAGTGACCCCAAGGGCGGCTGAGTACAGGCTTGCACCCTCCCGCTAGTTCACCCTAGCGCCCCAGGCGTGCAGGCTGGGACGCGCAGTAGCCTCTGTATACAGGGCGCCCCCAAGCGGCCGCTGGGACCCAGGGAGACGCCCCTGCAGCTCTACCCGGAAGTTCTCGCAGTACTGGGAGAAGCCGATCTGCTGCAGCCAGGTCTGGACCTCAGCCTCCTTCCAACTGGCCACGCAGGGCAAGATGGGCCGCGGCACCTCCTCGCCTAGCAGGCGCAGCGCGCGCTTGGCCAGCGCCGACGTGGTGCCATTGGAGGAGTAGGAGACAATGCGCTTCAGGCTCTGGATGGCGCCAATGTCGCTGAACACCTAGGGAGGGGATGAGGAGAGGGCGCGGCGGGCCCACGGCTGCCTTACTCACTGTGTCGCCATGACCCCTGGCTAGGAGTCACCCCGTGCTCCCTTCTCTCCGCGCAGCCACCAAGTCCTAATTCCATCTCGTGAACGCCTCTTGAATCCTCCTGCTTCTCTCTGCCGCTGCTGACTCCTGCCTCCACCATCGCCATCCTCCTCCACCTCCCCAAGTCATAGCCTCCTATTCGGACTCCTTGCCTCCGACTAAACCCTTACCACCCGACTTTCCACAAAGCAGCCAGGGTAACTTTGTCAAACACAAGCTGTTTCTTGCCAAAAACAAAAAACAAAAACCAAAAAAAAACCCTCTCAATGTCTTCCTCTTGTCTTCAAAGAACAAGCCCAAACTTTGAGTCTTGCCTTCAAGGCCAGAACGACTAGTCCCTCATCCTTCTGTCTTGTTTTACCCAGTTCTTATGAGTATTTCAGGCCTCCGTTGAGTGTCACTTCCTCTGGGAAGCCCTCCCAGACGCTCTCTAACCCCTGACCCATCCTACCCCACCCCTTACCCACCTTGGTCTTGCCTTGTAGGCTCTTGATGGCAGCCTCTGCGCAGAGGTAAAACGCCCCGATGCACTGCGCCTCCAAGCGCGATGAGTCGAGCAGCGGCACGAGGCGCTGCAGGTCGTCTGGCCCGCGGCCCTGGCTTGTGTCGCTGGCGTCCACCAGGCAGCGGGCGAATCGGCCAGGGTCCAGCGAGGCCACGAGCGGCTCCACGAGCGCCAGCGTGCCCGAGCGCTCCACTTCGCGCTCCACCTCCTTGTTGGTGGCCAACACTGCTACCGCGAGGCAGGCGTGCAGTCTCAGCAGTTCGTCCTCCTTGGAGAAGGCGAGCGGGAAGAGCCACTCGGCGGCGCGCTTCTCCACCATGCGCCGCTGCGCCGCCTGGCCCCCGTGGAGCGCGCAGTTGGCCAGCGCCAGCGCGCAGTGGCGCAGCAGGCCGGCCCCAGCGCGCAGTGGCGCAGCAGCGGCGGGTCCGTGCGGCGGCACCAGTACAGCACCGCATCCAGGCCGCCCGCCGCCACCAGCCGCTGGCACGTCTCCTCCGAGTGCTTGAACATGTGCTCCAGAATGCCTGCCACGCTCCGCGCCAGCTCCACGGGTTCGCGCTCCTTCGCCAGGTTCAGGATCACACCTAGCCCGATGCGTGCCACGCGGTCCCTACCGGGAGAAAGTGGAAGGGGACGGGACGGTGGCGTTGCCGAGGCCTAGGGGAGCTGGGCTTGCCCGCTAGGGGCCTGGTCACTTACCATCTCTAGGTCTCCCTAGTGCCAGAGGAGAGCTTTATCTTCCCTTCCTCCCACCCTCAACTCCTTCCCCTAAGGGTCAGACTTTTCTGATCATAAGGGTGCTCCCTTCCTGGTACCGCCACGTCTTCCCCTAACTCCTCCCCCTGAGAAGCACGAGAAACCCCTGAGAACCCGGCTAGGGAGCAGACTTCTTGGGTCCTGGTTTCTGCTCTGCCATTTTCTTTTCCTATTTTTTTTTTTTTTTTTGTTTGTTTTGTTTTGTTTCGAGTTTTTTTTCCTATAAGGCGTGTGCGCTCGCCAGAAAGACAGAGAGAGACAGAGAGACAGAAAGCGAGAAATCACCCCTACAGGGAGAATGGCCACGCTGCAATGCCTTCTCCATTCTCCTCTCCGGATCTTGGGCATGCACGCACATGCACCGGGCGTGAGTTTAATAAGCCACCGGGTCTGGGACCCGAACCATCGTCTACTACATGGGAGTTCAGCGACATAGCCATTACACTAAGTGCTGGTCCCTCCTCTCTGTCATTTTCTAACTGTGGGACCTTGGGCACCTTCCTTTATCTCTGCCTCAGTTTCCTCAATTTCTAACTAGGAAACTAAGAATACCTGTATCACAGGGATGTTATCAGGACCGATGAGATCATCCATGGTAAGTGCTGGCAGCTCAATGATGTAAACTTGGTGCTTGAAGTACACCACTTTAGCCTTACCTTTGACCTTTCCTCACTCCATGCTCCATGACTGGGCATTTGTATTCCTTCATTCAACACATGTTTGTTGAGGGCCTACTGTGTGTCAGGCACTGCACTAGGGGCTGAGGTTAAGCAGGGGCTAAGACTGACTGGAGCGAGTCAGCTAATATGGAGACAATGGGTGAGCAAACAGTGACTGAGCACGATCGTAGCGATATGGTCACAATGACAACAAAACTGAATGACATCACGGAGTGCGCCTGGTGGAGAGCTGTGTCTGAGGAGGTGCTGTGTGAGAGCCGAACGCTGAGAAAGCCCCGCCTGCAGATTCAGAGAGAAGCAGCGAGAGCAGGACAAGGCCTCAGGGGCTGATGAGCTGGCCTGCTGGAGGAACAGGAAGGAGGCCAAAGATATCCCAGTGTCCAAAACCAACAAGGAAAAACGTAAAATCAACCCGGGATTCATGTATAGAATATATAAGTCACTATTCAAATCAACAAGAAAAAAGGAAGTAAATCCAATAGAACATGGACCAACGACGTAAACAGGCAGTTAACAAAAGAGGAAATCCAACAAGCAACTAAAGAGATGCTCTAACTCATTAGTATTCAGAGAAATAAAATTAGAGCAACAGCTCTCACGTGACACCTATTAGAAGAGCGAAATCAGCAGCTGGATAGTATAGAGGATGGGCAGGGTGTAGGGCTGGGAGCGTCCTAGCGCGTGGGTGGGGAGCAGGCAACCTCTCCCAGACACACTGTCACACAGACTGACGAGGGCACGTGTACAAGATGCTCATCACTACTGTGCTGTTTATGGTGTGAGGAAGGGAGGCATTTGATGCCAAGCCTGGGGGAGAAGAGGTGACGCAGGGCAGTGCCCACTCTGGTTCAGGCACTGGACTCCCACATGGCCTACCATCGTTTGAGTCTCAGACCTGGCAGCTTGAAATTCATGCAGAGCATGTCTGCGTGTGTGCCCAAAATCCCAGGAGGAGAAGGGATTGTGGTGTAGCCATCTCCTTTGGGGGGTGATTTCTCACTTTCCCTCTCACTCTCTCTGTCTCTCTCCAGTGAGCGCACATGCCCTATGACAAAAATCAGAAGAAAAGAATCCTCACATTGAGTGGGAAAAAGAAACAATGTGCTGTAGAACACAAAATCATTTGTGTACATTAAAATACAAGCAGACGGGACCAGCAGTTAGTGTAATGGCTATGTCGCTGAACCACCATGTAGTCGACTGCGGTTCGAGTCCTGGACCCGGTGGCTTAAACTCATGCATGACATGTGTGTGTGCATGCCCAAGATCCCAAGAAGAGAATGGAGAAAAAGGGATTGTGGCATGACCATCCCCCCTGGGGGGTGATTTCTTGCTTTCTGTCTCTCTTTCTCTGTCTTTCTGGCAAGTGCATGTGCCCTATAGCAAAAATAATAATAATAATAATAACAATACAAGCATACAAGGCGAGAATAAAGATTTTGCCAGAACACAGGGAGGAAGCAGCACATTGAATACACTGGGACTGGGGGTCATGCAGCAGCAGCCCAGGAAAGGCAGGCACCTGCCCGTGACCTGAGCCAGCCAAGACCAGGAGGGAATGCAGTGGGAAGACCCTACTAGGGGGTGTGCCTCTCTCTCTGAAGAAATAAATGAATAAACTTAAATATATATACGTATATATTGGGACCAGCCAGTGGCATGGGTGGGGTGGCTGCATCCACATGGACGACTGCATGGTTGGAGTCCCAGACCTGGTGCCTTGAAAAACATACCAGGCATGTGTGCATGTATGCCCAGAATCCTTAGAGAAGACTGGAGGAGAAGAGATTGTGGCACAATCATCCCCCAAGAGGGGGGAGCATATTCTCACTTTCTCTTTCTCTCTCTCCATCTCTCTCTGGCAAGTATACATGCCCTCTGGCAAATTAAACAAACTACACACACACACACACAGAATGGTTGTCTATGGGGTTGGAGCAAAAGGCTGGTGGGGGCTTTAGTCATGTGGAGAAGGGGAGACTGCATTCCAGACATAGATATATAAAGAGACTTTGAGGTGCCAGAGAGCTGGTGCACTTGGGGAGTTGCCCACTCTTCCGGGTGGCTGAGGCTAAAGGTTCAGGGGAGAGTTGGGGGAAAGATCAGTCCTGGGGCTTTCTGAGCCATCACAAGGCATTTTCTGCTTTTCTGCTCTGATAGCAAACGCAGAGCCGTGGGAAAGCTTCAGGAAGGAGTGATGGGTTTTAGGAAGCTCACTGTGGCAGCTGTTGGGAAGTCAGGTCCAATGGAGAGAGCCGGGGAGCCATCAGAGGAGGCAGGACTTCAGGCAGAGGTGGAGACTTACTGACAAATGATGTCTTCCCAGGTGATCCCATCCCCAAGTCTAAGCAGCCCAGCCATGGAGTCCTTGCCCAACGGGCACCACTGTGACACAGTGCCTGTGACCCAGGTCCACTGCAAGATGCAGCCGAGTCCATAACATGCCATAAGGCCAGTGCAGCCTTGCTGAGCTGACCACACAGTGTCTCTGCAGTCCACCTTAAAGGAGCAGGTGGGTCCTAACCATCCACTGGGCAGCTGAAACAGCAGTTGCTCCTGCCTTTCTTTCTTTTAAATATTTTTTTAAGAATTATTTTACTTAACTTTATGTATGTATTTAATTCGGCCCGAGAGAGACAGAGAGAGAGCACGAGAAAGCAATCTACCATGTCCAGGACTTGAACCACAATCTGCAATGTGGGAGTCCAGCTCCCTTAACCACAGCCACCTGCCCGCCCCAGACCCTGCCTTTCTTCAGGAGGATTTTGATCCAGACTTGGCGTGCTGTGCTCTGTCCTTGGTCCTGAAGCGACACAGGCGTCTGTATATTGTTTCTTGGGAACAGGGACACTGGTTAGTGACTCCTCTCTCAGTAACTTTGAACCTGGTGAGGATTGTCATTTTCTTTTTCTTTTTCTTTTTTTTTTTGGGGGGGGGTCATTTTTGCTATAGGGAGCGTGCACTTGCCAGAGAGACAGAGACAGAAAGAAAGAAATCACCCTCCAGGGGAGGTGGCCACATCACAATCCTTTCTCTCGGGATTTTGGGCATGCACGCACGAGCACCTGGCGTGAGTTTTTAGCCACTAGGTCCAGGACTTGAACCACGGTCGATTACGTGGGAGTCCAGCGATATAACCATTACATTACACCATCTGCTGGTCCCGAGGATTGTCATTTTCAACCTTGAAAAATTATAGTATCACTTGCATCCTGCAGCCTTCGCCTTCCCCCAGTGCTGGTCCCACTAGCTCTCCAGAGGATCTAGCTGGTAGTGTCCCACCCCACGCTTCAAGGCTCCAGGGGACACTTGCTGACCTGGGCACCACCACACCAGTGAACACCCTCTCCATTGGCTAGCCCTTCAGATGCACACAGCCCATCCTCAGCAGGACACCTGCTGTTAAATGGGAGGTTCATGACGTGCTGAAGGAGCATAACCCTAACTGGATATCGCAACCTAAATTGCTTCATTCGTGCACTTTTTTCTTTATCCGTAATAGTGCGTGCACACACACACGGCGGGGGAGGCGAGCGCCCTTCACAGGGTATGGTCATACAGCGATACCCTTCCTCCAGCCCCTCAGGCTGTCAAGTCCTGGGCACCTGTGCACATGCCCAGCATGTTTTATTGCCAACCGGGTGGAGATTCAAACCAAAGTCACAAGGAGGATCTGACTTCTCTTGAGCAGCACACTCCTCTGTGCCAGAGCCCCATTCGTGCATTTTGGATGGTTATATCATTTCCACCAGTCACAAGGTGGTTTTTCCTTTTTAGAAGATGACAAGGGATCTATCCCTAACCAACTCCATCACACTTGTGAGAGCTCCATGAGTTCAAAGTGACTCTTCCAAAACCCATCTAAGCCCGAGGAGCCTGAGAATTAGTGTGAGACGGGGCTGTGGCAGCCTGGTCTGCTCTGGCATCAGAGGGGAGGGGAGGTCAGTCTTTAAGGGTCTTCATACTCCAGGTGGTTCCAAGAGGCAGACCTCGGACCCCACTTACTGTGGGGTGATATGTGGGGAAGGGGCGAGAACACTGACTCCGTCCAGCCCTTGCCAGCTCTGCACCTGCTCCCTCTTCCACCACCCATTCATGCCAGCAGAACACTTTCTGTTCCCCACCAGCAGCCACAGAGTGAGCTCATGTCTGGTCTCCGCCCCTTTCTCTGAGCATGTGTTTGCTTCCCAGGGGGAGGGGGCTGGGAGAAGAGAGAAGTATCATAGAAGGGCACCCAGGCCTGCCAGCAGGGCGTGGGTTTAGAAGGGCAGAGTCAAGAGGATGCCATCTTCATCTATAGGACAGGGACCGGCTCCTGTCCCACGACTCCAGTTCTTCTCTCCTTGTCTCCCCTCCTCCCCTCACTCACCCTGGGAGTGAATCCTGGCTGCACCATTAATCCACTGTGATGCTTCAAGTCATTTAGCTTTCCTGAGCCTGGGTTTCCCCATCAGTAAACGGACAGCTGATCGCTGACAGAGGTGTAGTACAGGGGTGTAGTGAAGTGAGGCCGGCAAAGGCACAATGTCAGGCCCACGGGAGACCCAGGCACTCAGCCTCCCTCGCTACCCCACACTGGGCGGCGCGGTCCCCGCAGCCCGGCGCCCTCACCTGTTCTCAGCCACCAGGATCTGCTCCAGCAGGCGCGCGGCCTGCACGCGCGTCTCCAGCTCTGACGCCTGCAGCAGCCGCAGCCGCAGGCCGGGGACGGC